GAGAGAGACACACACATACACACACACACACACGCACACACACACACAGACACACACATACACACACATACAGACACAAACACACATACACAGATACATCTCTCTTTTTCTCTCTTTCTCTCTCTCTCTCTCTCTCTCTCTCTCTCTCTCTCTATCTTTGTCTCTATATATATATATATATATATATATATATATATATATATATATATATATATATATATATATATATATATATATATATATATATATATATATATATATATATATATATATATATATATATATATATATATATATATATATATATATATATATATATATATATATATATATATATATATATATATATATATATATATATATATCTGGATTTAAGACAGGGAAAAGGTGAAAATTGGATAAAACGACGCCACATCACCGACAAATCATAAACAGTAATAAAGATCATATGAAACAGATGAGCAGTCAAAAGGAAATGAAAAGGAAGAACAAATTTTTAGAAGAGATGATTATATTATACCTTTTTCAAGAAACAAAAGAAAGGATGAATGTTTAAACTTGACTGGTCTTCTTCTTGGATGAATTCATATTGATAATAGACGAAGGAATACAACAGATACTCAAGTGCACTGCTCAGTTTTGGTTTTGTAAATATTTATTGATGAAAGCTGTACAGCAAATGCAGAGGAAAGATCAACTTAAAGAAGAGAGAGAAAGAGACAGAGGAGAGAGAGAGAGAGAGAGAGGAATAAACCAAGTTGCAAGCTTTATGTAAAGATTTTTATTTGCAGTAGTGATATTGATTGTTCTTTTTAAGCTATTTGGACAAGTAGTAGAAGCTTATCTTATTGTGCAAATGGAGAAGTAAGACAGTTAGTTGTGTATGAAATTTAAATTCTTGTTATGGTGTTATGGGAATTAATAACTTATTACTTATTTAATTAACTATGTATGTATATAAATAAAATATAATATTTGTTGGACTTTGTGTTTGGGTGACCGCTTTCATATTTTTTGGATCATGTGATTTCATTTAATTAGGAGTTGAGGGGTGGGGAAGTGGGGAGGGTCCAAAAGTCATAGTCATACTCCCTACACATGCATCAATCATCATTCATTCAAGTACCCAATCTTGGTATTTGAATATTATTTTAATATACCTATATTTATAATATATATACATAAATGCCAACTTCTTCATTGTCAATTAATTAATTAGTCATTCTTGTTTGGGAATTTGATCATTTTGGAATAACTTTGAACACCTCAGCATGAAGAGAGAGGGAATAAAGTATTAATCCTACTAACATGGTATTATTGCTTACTTAATTATTTTTGGTGGGTTGCCTTTGTCATCTATCTTTCACTGTCCCACACAAAGGCTTCAATTATTAGACCCTTTTCTTGCTTCACTTTCGTGACACATTTTTAGAAAAGTTTGGCTGTAATAAATATTCTCTATTTAAAAAAGAAAAAAAAAGGTAAATGAGTGATACCCTAATTTTGAAATATTTACGAGGAGACCTAATTAATTTTTCTGCCTTAGTTAAAAATCAAGGAGTAATGGCAAATAGGCCCATGACAAGGGCACTTAATTGAAAGAGGAATATCCAACTTTTTTGTCTTTCAAATAAATCCAGCTCATTCAAACTTATTTGCAAATAAGGAAAATTCTTTTATATATACTAAAATTACCTTCAATTCATTGAAACCCAATTCAACTCCAATTTCATGATTTACACCCCAATTTAGCCCAATTTCATCAATTAACCAATTTTAATCATAATTTCAATTTTGACCCCAATTTTAACCCGCCACCACCGGAGACCGCCGGTCGCCGCTGTTGACCGGCGTTGACTTTTTTTTTTTTTTGAAAAACTTTTTTTTTTCCTGAAATTTTTTTCCGGCCGGTCAACTGCCGTTGACCGCCAGGTCTCCGGCGTTGACTTTTTTTTTTTTTTATATAATTTTGTTTTTTCTTAAAAAAAAATAATTTAATTAATATTACTGTCTTGGCTGCTAAATTACTGTCTCCGGCAGTTATTTAACTGTCGGAGACAGTAATTTAACTGTTAATTGACTTTTTTTTTTTCTTCAAAAATATTTTAATTAATATTACTGTATTCGTTGCTAAATTACTGTCTCCAGCAGTCAGAGTCAGTAATTTAACTGTTAATTTACTTTTTTATTCTTAAAAAAAATATTTTTAATTAATATTACTGTATTCGTTGCTAAATTACTTTCTCCAGCAGTTATTTAACTGTCGGAGACAGTAATTTAACTGTTAATTGACCTTTTTTTTTTATTTTTTTTCCTTAAAAAAAATTATTTTAATTAATATTACTGCCTTCGATGCTAAATTACTGTCTCCAACAATAATTTAACTGTCTTAAAAAATAATATTAATAATATTATTGTCCCAAACAGTAATATTACTGTATGAGACAGTAATTTAGTAGCCAAGACAGTAATATTAATTAAAATATTTTTTTTCTAAGAAAAAAAAGATTCAAAAAAAAAAAAAAAAAGTCAATGCCGGAGACCGGCGGTCTCCGGCGGTCAACGCCGGAATCTGGCCGAAAAAAAAAACATTTCAGAAAAAAAATTATTTTCTAAAAAAAAAAGTTTTGGGGGTTAATGTGATATATTTGTTTAAACTCGGGGTCAATGTGTAATATTAAGGAAGTTAGAGCATAATGGTGGAATTGATAAGAATTATATTATTGAGGGTATTTTAGACTAAAGACATGTGGATGGGTTTAATTGAAAGACTGTTTTTTTTGTGGATCAAAATGCATTTAAGTCCCATGTGATAAACATTTTTGCCATTCGTCCAAACATCAAAATTCTGATCTTAATTTGTGAGACTTCTTGGGCAACTTAAAATACTTGTTTTACCCTTTTAATTTCAATTCAATACATGCCCTAACCCCTAATCTTCTCTCTCTTCCACTCACACTTCTCACACCCACACCATCGTTTACATCTCTCCCTCTCTCTAACTCTCTCTCGCTAGATATGGCACCGACAAAAAAGAGTAAGAAGATGCCGGGTGGTGACAGGCGGCAGAGGCTTGGGCGGGACGGCTTAATCCGTCGGCGACGGTTGTTGATGCAAACATCATGAAGCAGACCAATTTCAGAAAATGGGGAAGACTAGGGTTTTCATCGCTGAAGACAAAATCATCGACATCTCTCAAAACTTAGGAAAACTACAGTGGCAACCTGAGGATATAGGGCTCGATCGAGGTAATTGAATTATGTAATTCAATTTGAGAAAAATAGTTCTAAATTTGTGTCTGCAGTGTGATGCAGTGTGAAGTCTGCGTATGTGTTTGTTGGCTATGTGTATGTTGGTAGGTTTGTATGTGTGTTGTTGTGTGTCTTTATGAGAATATAAACTATATATATAGGCCTCGTTTGGTTGGGGAGATTAGTCATGATTAACAAAATAATTGGACTTTATTTGATGTTTGGTATTTTCAATAACTTGTCGGGTCGACCCGCAAATATTATTTTATCATGCCTTATCTTGCTTTTTAGACATGTTTGTTTATTGAATCTTCCAAAGTCCAATAATACAATTAAGTTTCATTAGATTATTTAATTTTATCTTGGCTGATCTTATCTTCCCTACCAAACAAGGCAATAGTATATTACGTATATATATGTGCAGAACATACATCGATCTATATGTATGGTTGGTACATATACGTATGCATTGCATAATTATGTTATGTGTGCATGTGTAATGTTTTATTAGATTTATACATATATATTTGTATTTAATATATTATGTGTGTGAGGAGTATATGCTGGTTATGTGTATGTATATCGGTAGGTGATACTGTGTGTGTGTGTGCATATTCAAATTTGAAGCAAAATTTGTTGTTTGTTTAACTCTTTTTCTTTCCCGCAGATCTTATTGTTTGAACTATTATGTAGTAAGTTTTTTGCGGAGTCGACATTGTGTTCTTCGTTCAAAATAAGCCGTTCTTGTGTTGCAGATCTAAGCTTGTAGTAGCTCGTGTTTCATTATCGAGAATGAATGGTTTGAAATTAGAGGATCAAATGGATGTGTTTTCTCATTTGTGTTCTATCTTTTTGAGCAATCGAGCCGATGGAAAAATATTTGTGATCGGTGAGTCATATATACGTAGTCATATATAGTCAGATGTGGTCATATACACGTAGTCATATATAGTCACATGTGGTCATATACATGTAGTCATATATAGTCATGTGTAGTAATATGTAGTAATAATGTAATATATAGTTATGTGTTTTTTCCTGATGTATAGTGATGTTGATGATTGTGTTTTTCCAATTTCATGTTGGGTACTAATAGATTTAAATTGTGAATT